AGCAATAAGAGAAGAAAAAGAAATTGAAGGCATTAGAATAGGCAAAGAAGAAGCAAAGCTATCACTCTTTGCAGATGACATGATGATATACTAGAGAATCAAGTAAAAAACTACTTGAAATAATAAACAACTTTAGCAAAGTTGCAGGCTATAAAATAAACCCACATAAATCATCAGCATTTCTATATATTACCAACAAAGCCCAACAGCAAGAGATAGAAAGAGAAATCCCATTTAAACTTACTGTAGACATTATAAAATATTTAGGAGTCTACCTCCTGAAACAAACCCAGGAACTCTATGAACACAATTACAAAACACTTTTCACACAAATAAAATCAGATCTAAATAATTGGAAAAACATCAGTTGCTCATGGGTAGAGCTAATATAATAAAAATGACAATCCTACCTAAGCTAATTTACTTATTCAGTGCCATACCAATCAAACTACCAAAAAATTATTTTATAGAGTTAGAAAAAATAATAACAAGATTCATTTGGAAAAACAAAAGGTCCAGAATATCAAAGGAACTAATGAAAAGAAATGCAGGGGAAGGTGGCCTAGCAATTCCAGATCTTAAATTGTATTATAAAGCAGCAATCATCAAAACTGCTTGGTACTGGCTAAGAAATAGGGAGGTGGATCAGTGGAATAGGTTAAATATGCAAGACACAGTAGTCAATGACTATAGTAATCTATTATTTGATAAACCCAAAGACCCCAGCTTCTGGGATAAGAACCCACTCTTTGAAAAAAACTGCTGGGAAAACTGGAAAAGAGTATGGCAGAAACTAGGCATAGACCCAAATCTCACACCATATACCAAAATAAAGTCAAAATGGGTTCAGGACTTAGATATAAAGGCTGATACCATAAGTAAACTGGGAGAACAAGGAATAGTTTACCTGTCAGATCTATGGAGAACAGAAGAATTCATGACCAAACAGGAGATAGAGAACATTATGAAAAGCAAAATGGATAATTTTGATTACATTAAATTGAAAAGTTTTTGCACAAACAAAGCCAATGCAACTAAGATTAGAAGGAAGGTAGAAAATTGGGAAAGAATTTTTACAACCAGTCTCTCTGATAAAGGCCTCATTTCTAAAATATATAGAGAATTAAGACAAATTTATAAGAACACAAGCCATTCCCCAATTGATAAATGGTCAAAGGATATGAACAGACAGTTCTCAGATGAAGAAATTAAAGCCATCTATAGTCATATGAAAAAATGCTCTAAATCATTATTGATTAGAGAAATGCAAATCAAAACAACTCTGAGGTACCACATCACACCTATCAGATTGGCCAACATGACAAAACAGGAAAATGATAAATGTTGGAAAGGATGTGGGAAAATTGGAACACTAATACATTGTTGGTGGAGTTGTGAAATGATCCAACCATTTTGGAGAACAATTTGGAACTATGCCCAAAGGGCTACAAAAATGTGCATACCCTTTGATCCAGCAATAGCACTTCTAGGGCTATATCCCAAAGAGATCAAACAAATGGGAAAAGGACCCACATGTACAAAAATATTCATAGCAGCTCTTTTTGTGGTGGCAAAGAATTGGAAATTGAGAGGATGCCCATCAATTGGGAATGGCTGAGCAAGTTGTGGTATATGAATGTAATGGAATACTATTGTGCTATAAGAAATGATGAACAGGCTGACTTCAGAAAAACCTGGAAAGACTTATATGGTCTGATGCTGAGTGAAGTGAGCAGAACCAAGAGGACTTTGTACACAATAACAGCCATGTTATGCAATGACTAAGATTGTTAAACTGAACCTTTCTCAGCATTATGAGGATCTAAGACATCTCCAGAGGCCTCGGGATGGAAAATGCTGTCCACATCCAAGGAAAGAACTATGGAAGTCGAATCGCTATCACTTATTTTTACCTTCTGTTGAGTTTTGTTTCGTCTTTCTGATGGTTCCTCCTATTGGTTTTAATTTTTACTTACAACTTCACTAATGTGAAAATATGTTTAATGGGTATGTAAATGTAAAGCCTATATCAGATTGTGCCGTCTTGGGGAGGGTGGGGGGAGGAAGGGGAGAAAAATTTTCAACTCAAAAGCATATGGAAGTGATTGCTGATAAATCAAAATAAATTAAAAAATTTTTTTTAAAAAAGATCATTTATATCTCTCTATTACCTTCATGCCTAGTACTATGCTATTTACTGTCCCCACCCCAGAGGTAAACCAAAAGTTTTTCAACATAATAGTTATTACTGATTTTTGTTATCCCTGCAAATGGGTTCAGAGTGAAATAGTAGAGTTCCAGCTGAGAGTCAGAAGACCTGAGTTATCTAGTATAAGCTATGTGACCTTGGACAAATGATTGATTCAATTCAATAAACATGTTTGTTTATTGGGGGAGGCAAGGATGAAAAATGACAAAATCATAGAATCATAAATTTGGAGCTGGGAGGGACCATCTTGTCCAATTCCATTTTACAGATGAGGAAATTAAGGCTCCGGAAGGATAAGGTCACAAAGGTAATAAGTGGCAGGGTTGAAATTCAAACTCAGACTCTGACAATAAATTTTATGAAATTTTTTGAGGAACAAAGAAGTTAAATAACTTGTCCAAGGTCAAGTAGGTATCAGGTGATGGAGCCAAGTCACCAGAATTGCAATCCCAAACTATCCACTATGACACATGGCCTCCAAAGAAGTATGGTCACTGCTCTCAAGGAGATTATAGTCTATCAGGGAGGAATCAGAAGGAAAAAAAAAATCACTAACAGGTATTTTATACAAGGCAAAATATGAAAGGAGGAACAAGGGAGAAATGCAGAAAAAAAATATTTAAGAAAATCTTAAGGGAGAGAAATCCCTTTCAGTTGGGGAATCAAGAAGGGTTTCATGGAGGGCATGATACCCAAGCTAGACCATGGAGAAAAAAAAAGGATTTCAATGGGGTAACATGCAGTTAGAGTTCATTCTAGAGAAGAGGCTTGCGAAAATATATAAAGTCAAGAGTTCAGGCAATAGGAGTCCAGTTTGGCTGGAACACAAATCTGATGAAGGGTTGTAGTAAGATTAAGGTTGGCTGAAGCTAGATTATAGAAGGCCTTAAATGCTTGATGAAAGCTTTCATGATTTATGATAGAAATGCAGGATCTTGAATGTGAAGTTGCTTTTGGATGGTGAATTCCAAGGTGTAACCACTCCAATAGATAGTTTTCGTGGGTTGATGAACTGAGGTTAGGATGTTAGGATGATCATTCACCTAAATCCTGAAGCCACCAAGGATGGCTATATGGGTTGGGGTTCTGGAGAAGAGAATTCAAAGACACTGAGGAAGGTAGGAACTTAGCTTGGAGGGTGGGAGATGACAGTGAGAGTGGGATAGTCCTCACCATGGAACACTCTCTCTGACCTTTCCCCTATTTCTCCTTTAAACTTTTCAAGAAACCCTTAAGCCTACCTTAATCCAAGCCTTATCTATAGATTATGGATTTATCATAGCTATATCACAAACATTAAAGAAAAATTGCAAAATCAAGCAGAATTTGAGAATGCAGGAAAAGTTCCTCTTTTTCCTTCTGCCCAAAAAAGTCTACAGAAAATTCTTACCAGTCTCATTTCTCTTTTCAAATAATGTAGAGACCAGATCAATCCTAGAACAGTCAGTTACAACTAAAAAACTAAGACTATGTTATTATGTCCACAGCTTGACCTTTGACATGCATCACTTATATTAGTCAAGCCTACTGCCTTTATTTAACCTTAGTTTCTGATTTGCCTATTTAAAATGAGGATAATGCTCATCAGCGCATTGCCTAAGGACATAGAGAATCTTTCTAAATTATAATTACAGGTATTTCAATAATACCTCTCAATTTTGTGATTAGCTGCTTTACCCCAAGGAATCTGATGAGAGTACTATGGGTTTACAGCAAAAACCTGTTTATTCAAATCACTAGACTGATAGGGATTTGGAGGAGGTGGTAGAGAGAGGGGGATGCAGGATAGAACCCCTTGGGCTAGAGCATATGAAATAACCCAGAAATTAAGTTCAAGTATCTCAACTTCCAGAAGAGGAAGCTAAAGCCCAAAGCCATATTAAGAGATTTGAAGGTCATAGTAAGAGGTAACAGTAACGTGGGAATTTATTCCAGGAATGGGAAAGAGTCTGTGCAAAGGTATGGAAGAAAATGATAGAACGGCCTAGAGTGATCATTGTGTGCCAGGCACTATGCTGGGGAATATAAAGAAAGGTAAAACACAGTACTTACTGCCAAGGGGTTCGTGGTTTAATGGGAATATCAATTTGTCAGCTATGTGGAGGACGTCTTGAAGAGGGGAGACATTAGATCAGAGAGATCAATGAGACTACTGTCATAGTCCAGATGGGAAGTGATGAGATCCTGAATGAGGGGTAGCAATAGGCATGAAGAGAAGAGACCAGGTGCAACATATATTGATGGAAGCATAAGTGACAAGCCTTGGCAACTGACTGAATATGGAGGGGAGAGAAGAGAGAGCAAAGAGTAGAGGACACTTCCTGAGAAGAACCTAGGTGATGGGAAAATGGAGGTGCCCTACAGAAGTTAAGAAGAAGCAAGAGATGGGAAGAAGGAGAGAGAGAGAGTTCTCAGTTTTAGATGCATGTGAGATATCCAATGTCCAACAGGCAGCTGATGTAGTCCAATAGGCATTTGTTTTGGTATCTCAAGCATTAAGCTAATCTTTGTGTTTCCAATGGCCCAGACGCTATCCAATCCCTAACTGTAGGGGATGTCCAAGCATGAAATGGTCTGTCGGAAAGAACACTGGATCTGGAGTCAAGAAACCTGAGTTGGAATCTTGGGTCTGCCATTTACTAGCTATGTGACCTTGAGTAAGTCACCTAACCTTCCATATGTTCATAAGATGATGGATGTAGCGCTAAAAAAGGATATCAGAAGCTATGTACTCCAACCCCCTCAAATGACATCTGAGAAAACTGAGACCTAAGTAAGCTAAGTGACTTACCCAAGGTTACGCAGACAGTGTTAGAAACAAGTTCTCTGACTCCACAGTCAGAGCTTTTTCTGTTGTAGCATACTTTCTGAGTCTCAGTTCTTCATCTGTAAAAACAAGAATAACAATCTATTATTCACAATTCTTTGAAGTAGGTAGTGGAGGCACCAAATGAGATAATATATAGAAAGCACTTTGCAAACATTAAAATACTATAAAAATGCTAAGTTCAATAAAATAAACCCAAAGTCAGCTCTTTCTGAATGACCACTATGGCTAATAGCTGCTATTTCTTGAAGGAAAGTTCCATCAAAACAAGTAAAACCACTAAAACCACCAGGATTTTTTCTATAGTCTCTAAATGATCAATGGGATCTATGACCAAACTATTCATCTCGGTCCAGTCATACTGAAACTTCCGACCCATTTCCAACTTGCTAGAGTTCTACTGAATAGCCATCAACTATGAAAGCAAAAGTATTTTATTTGCTACTTATTCATTTATACTTAGGTGGATATGAAGTCCAAATCTCACAACAACTAGGAATTTATTTTCAGGTTACATATTGACTAAGTTTATCACTAAGACACACCTTGGTCAGACACTGTCAATTAAAGTTATCCTGCTTCATGAATAATGCAAAGTTCTATGTACCTTGGCAACCACAAAAACTATTATGCTGACATTGAAACTTAATCCATCCTTATGCAAAATGAGGGCTGTGACATCTGTTTGACTTTTTTTTTATTATTGTGATTATTTTTATGCTCAACCTCACTACTAAGTTATAAAGATCCAAGAGGGAAAAGATGACCTTTTCCCTAAATGATGCATCTCTCCCAGTGCCTAGCACAATGTTCTGCTCACAGAAAAAGCACTCATCAGTCTTCCTTTCAACTGCACGGGATATGGATTAGCCAAGCAGTGAATCATTGTTCCTTTTCTCTTTTTAAATGAAAAGGATCTGGCTCACAAGTTCTTAGCCAAGGTATTCTGATCATTCAGACTTCCTGATCCAAGAATATGATGTGAAGAATTATAAGAATTTAAAAAAACTAAAAGTGTGTGTTAGTAAAGAAAAAAAAACTCAAGACTTTATTACAAATTCATGATATATTTATTGATTACTCAAGGAACAGACATTACAAATGTTGTGTGCTCTTAGATTTTTGTTCCCAAAATACCTTCTTAGCAAAAGGGTAATTGTGCCCTGTATGGGAAGGACTGAGCTAAGGGCTAAGTATACCTGCACCCCTTCTTTGCCCAGCTGATGAATGACAACTTAAGAGCTGTCAAGCCTTCAGACATCACTGCCACCTGTTGTCAGAAGCCAGTACTATTATCTTAAAAATGATCATCCTCTACCTCAAACAGCTTTCCGCTCCTTTCCATTCACAAAAGTACTGAAGAGGATCTCATCTGGGGGAATGGGAGACTGAACAAGAGCCATCCAAGATTATCACTTAGATAAATCACCAAGGAATGAGGTCATTCATGTAACTACCTCTCTGGTCTGAACAATGGGTCATAAGACCATGGATTCAGAGATGGGAGGATGCTAGGGGGATGTCTAGTCTAATGCGTCGTTTGACAGATGAGAAAAGTGAGGCCCAGTAATATGAGGTCAGTAAGCAGCAAAGATTAGAATCAAACCCAAGTCCTCTGACCATCAATAAATTGCTCTTTCCTATCCACCATGTTTGTGACTCCATGTTCATTGGGGAAGTATACTGACAAATGAGACTTCTCATTAACAAGCTACAGAATGTTCAAGAAGAAAGTGACTGTGCAATAAAGAAGGCTTAGGGAGGACTTGATTACCATCTTCCAGTACCTTAAGGGATGTCATGAGGAGCAAGGATTAGATTTGTTCTGTTTGGCCCTAGAGGACAGAACCCAAAACAATACATGATGCAAGGAAAATCTTCCTAATAATTTTTTATTTAAAAATTTGGCACTGATGTTTCACTTTTGCATTAGTCGATGTTTTTTGTGTTATTTCCTATCTTCCTAGGCTACAGGAGATAGCCCATCTCTCCTTTGAGAACAGGAACCATCACAGCACCTATCACAGTGGTGGTGGGTAGAAATGGCAGCAGGATGTAGGGGAAAGAGCCTGGACCTTCCAATTAACCAAAGGTTTGACCTTGGGTAAGTCACTTGGCCTCTCTCTGAACTTTAGTTTTTTATAGATTTAGCTTCTTAAGGACAGTAATGCATCCATTACCTGCCTTCACACAGTAATTGAGAGGAAAATAATTTGTAAATCTTTGATCATTATGAAGTGATAAATATGAGTTGATAATAATTCTAACAACAAGACATTACACACCTCTACCGTGAGTGGGGCAGACAGTTTCCCACAACAGACAAACTGGTGAACTTGACATTGATTCTGTCAAATTCTAGACATGGCTTACTTAATGGCCTCAGGAAGGTGGGTACTACAACTCTGTATCCTGTAGGTTCACTGAGTAGTTTGGGAAATTAACCTTCTTTCATTCTTTTTTTGACAGGAGATAATATATCTGGATTTCGATGACATGTCTGGCAAAGGCTTTCAAGATGATCTTTGTAGACAAAATGGAGAAATACGGACTGAGAGTACCGTTAGGTGGATTCATATAACTTAGTGATCAACTATTCCAGTGGCATGCCAGAGTGCTCTATCTTCAACCTGGTGCTGTGCAATAAAAAATGTTACTCAAACGAACATTAAGTGCCTGCTACAAACGAGACACTGTGCTGGATCTTGGGGAGAAAAAGAAACAAAAGTCTCTGACTTAGGATAATGACTCACATTTACAAAGTATTATAAAGTTTGCCAAGCTTGCCTCAGAAAACCAGAGAGACAGATAACATGAGTATCATTATCCCTGTTTCAAAAACAAACAAATAACCCTGAAGCTCAGAGAGGTTATAGGACTTGTCCATGATCACAGAGATGATAAGTATCTGGGCCACCTCTCATCTGACAGGATGGATAGGACACACACAAAAAATAAATGCAACACAAGGCAGAATGTGGTTAGTGTTAAGGGTCAGACAAGACGTTATGAAAAATTTGAGGAGGAAGGGGTCATTTTTATCCAGAGGGATCCACAAAATCTTCATGAAAGTGGTCACTTCCCAGGTGGATGAAAATATAAGTGCCTGTTTATCAAATTTTCAGATAGAATGAAGCTGGGAAGAGCAGTTAAAATGGTGAAGAACAGAATAAAGAAAAACAAAACACAAATTAAAGACCCCACAGCCCAGGATTGTGGGCAGGGTCCACATTTCTTTATTATATATATATATATATACACACATATATATACATACACACACATATACATACACACATATATACATACACATATATATACATACACATATATATATACATACACATATATATACATACACATATATATACATACACATATATATATATACATACACACACACATATATATATATAAATTTATTTATTTTTAATTTTCAACATTTACTTCCACAAGATTTTGAGTTCCAAACTTCCACTCATCTTGCCCCTCTCCCCACCCCAAGATGGCATGCATTCTGAATACTCCTTCCTCTAGTCTGCCCTCCCTTCTATCTCTCCCCCTAGAGTCCACATTTCTACCTTTTAAACTTCACTTTGATCCAAGTCGTTCTCTAGGGTTCACAAAATCAGGTGCCCAGCCACAGAAGAAGGAAACACAACTTAACACTGAGTGACAGAAAGAAATCCAGCAATTTTAGCTAGAAGCTCAATAAAACATGGTCAGGCTGCCAAAAAAGCCCAACTAATCTTAGATCACATTAATAGAAACATGTCCAGAACAAAGGAAATGACATATACTCTTTCCTGGTCAGACTACACCCAGTTTATTGTGCTCAGTTCTGGGTACTTTAAGTGGACCATAGACAAACTAGAAGTTGTCCAATGGATTATGTCAAAAAAGATAGCTGAAGCAACTATTTAGCCTGCAGGAAGATTTAAGTTGCAAATGAATGCTGTAAAAAGGATGAGGAATCCTTTTTCTCTTTGACCTCAAGAGGGCAGAATTAAGATCCGTAACGGGCAGTTACAAGGAGCCAGATTTTAGCTCAACATAAGGAAGAATTTTCTACCAAATTTCCTCTCCAAAAATGGAACAGCTGCCTCATGAAGCAGCCACCTCCCTGTTACTGAAAGTATTCAAGGAGAAGTTGAGTGATCACTCCTCAGAAATATTATAGTAGGGATTCCAAAACTGAACAGGGCATTCTGTTAGATGACCCCTAAAGACCCTTTTAACTCAAAGATGCAATGATTCTACGTCCTTACAAAATTCAGTGTTCTCTTTCTCAGAAGAACTTGCATACTGATGTGCCCACTAGATTCAGGCATTCCGCAATGATAGATTTTTTGTACAGAGTTAGGTCAAAACACCATGACCATGTTTAGAAATTGAGGTATATGCTAGATTTGAACTCTGTTTTTTATTTTGAGCATTAATGCCCTTAACTAAAATTACACTCCAGTGCCTTATAATTTTGTGGAGGTAACCTTGGGTTGTCAAAGGTTATAAGGAATTACAAGCTCTAGCAGGTTCTGGAAAGACTTCAAGTATGGGCCTGAAAATTAACTATATATTTGCTGAAAAGAAGCCCAACAAAGTTCAGAGGGGCTCATTATTAACAGATTGGCTACCAGGCAATGACTTTTTTTTTAAGTTGTAGAAACTTATAAAGAACATCTACAACAGCTGAATGGTCTTGATCTATGTAAGTAGAGGGGGGTCAAATCAATGATGAAACCACAGGGCCTTGAAGTCTCATAAAGCTACCATTTCTCCTCAAAATTTTTTTAAAGTTTATCAAAGTTTATGGCAAAATGAGTCAATTCATAGATATTCATTCTACTTTTTCACTTTCGACAAACATGTCTCATCTTAATCTGGTACTGTTAGTGTTGACCTTCCACAGGTTTGTGACCCTGTTAGGCAGCCAACTTCAAGCAGAAGAGCAGTTTAATATAGGTATAGATAGATTGTATATACTTCTATATGGACATGTCTCCCCCAATAAAATGTAAGTCACCTGAGGGCAGGAAATTAGTTTCTTTTTTATCTTTAT